CCCAAAAATCAAAGTAAAACAAAAAGAGACACAAAAGCCTAGCCACAACCTGTCCAGAAGGAAACTTTTCTTTGGGATGTGCAGAGTCCCCGTGGTGGCTGAGGCCAGACCTGCTTGGGAAAACGCAGCTGCTGAAGTGACAGCTCTGGTGTCACCGTGCTCCGGGTGACAAAGGACACCCTGCGGGACCTCATGGTGCTGTCACACCCCGGCCTTGTTGCCTTCAGTCATCCCCGACTCCCAGAAGTGCCCAGTGCCAAAAAAAATCACTTTGAAACACCCTTGAGGAGAAATTCTGCTGCAAACTGGCTCTGGATCAACTCAGCGACCTTCTCGGCGTGGGTAAGGGAAAAACTCTTGGATTTCAGATCAGAGGAGAAAAACGAATAAAAAAAAATTAAAAATATGCAGATATCCCAACAGCAGTTCAAACCCCCTGTAAAAATGAAGGGAAGGATCAAAATGCCCATCCCCATTAATTATTTCTTTCCAGAAATATTTTTAACAGGAAAAAAAACCCAAAAACCAGGTTTCCTCCTCTTCCTCCCTTCCCCTTCCTCACCTCATGGAGCCAAAARCCAGCGCAGAGGCTCCAGTCCAGTTCCCCTTACTGGGAGATGGAGAAATCCCCACTMCACAACATTCCCTCTCCCTCACCTATGCAGGGCTGTGGGGCTGGACACTTACAGGTGGATCCCTTGGCCTGGACACTCACAGTCCAGCCTGCAATTCATTATTTTATTTATTTATTTTATTTTATTAATTTATTTTGTTTATTTTTATTTAATTTATTGTATTTATTTTAATTTATTTAATTTATTGATTTGATAAATTTTATTGATTTATTTTATTTATTTATGCTATTGATTTAATTGATTTAATTAATATATTTTTATTTATTTATTTTATTTTATTTATTTCATTTATTTTATTTACTTTACTTACTTTATTTATTCAAGTTTGGAGCACCGGGCCGCTTCCCAAATGGGGAAACTGAGGCAGGGCCAGCCGTGGCTGCTCTCCCCGAGCTCCCCAGGCACCTCAGGCTGAGCTTTTCCAGCAGAATCCTTCAAATCCTCGAAAACCTTCAAATCCTGGGAAAAGGCAGCAGCCAAAATGCCCTTGGAGAACGGGGGTACCAACACCTGAGCTGAGCTTGGGGTTAATCCCCCCAGAACTGGCAATTTCTGCTCCCACCCTGGCATATTTTTAATGTTTATCTGACAGAGTAGCCCCGGATCCAGGGGGAGGATATAACTTTTCATATATTGTCAGAAACTTTCATACAGAGTATTAATATTATATAAAATATTAATTAAATATAACTCTAACTTCTCATTCAATGCATTGACTAATGTGTCCATCCCCAGGCTCACAGAACTGGGGATAAAATCAAATCAAATCCAAAAATAATMAAATAAAAAAAATTAAATGAATTTTTGAAAGATATGATAAAATAATATAAAATAAAATATAATATAATAAAATTAAATAATAAAATAAGGCCTTTTTTGATGCAAGGTGCTGCTCAGGCTGAGCACATCCCAAATTTTGGGACATCCCAAGTTCTTATGGTGCTTTAGCCACATCTGGTAACCAAAATGTGCTAAATAAAATAAAATAAAATAAAATAAAATAAAATAAAATAAAATAAAAATTAAAAACAATAGAAAAAGGCCCCCAAATAAAATAAGATACACCCCAAGTTCTTATAGTGCTTTAGCCACACCTAGTAACCAAAACCTGGGGGGAAAAGGACATTTACCATACTTCCTCTTAAAACATGTATTTACAGGGCTCACTTTTGTCTCAAACCCCATCATTTAAAAGCAATTTTTACAACCCAAAACCAGCCCCRGCTTCCCCCACCCTCCCCGAAGTGGTCACAACTTTTACTGCTCGTTACAAAAATTAGACTTTTATTTGGAAACGCCTAAAAAACGCGACCTCTTTGGGGATCCCTCCCCAGCCCTCACCCCCCATGAGTTTTTCTTTTTTTAGTAAGAAATGTTTTAACTGGACGAAAAATCATCTCATTCTGGATGAGTTCCCATTTTTCAAGGAGCAGCTTGAAAATCCCGTTGATTTTCTAGGGAAAACTCGCAAAGTTTGGCCTCTTCAAACCCTTGGAGGAGAGCTTCTCCTGATTAAAAAAATGGGGTTTGGAGGAGGGCAAAAAAAAAGGGCAAAAAAATCCCAGTGGAGGAGAAGCAAGGGCTAGATGGCAAAATCCTCRTGGTCCTGGGGGCTGAAGGCAGCCGCCCGCAGCAGCTCCAGAGAGTTGACGAGGATCAGGGTTCCCGTCAGGTGCTTCCAGCGCTTGGTGATGGGGTTCTTCATCCTGTCCAGCCCCGTGTGCAGCTCCTGGATCACATCGCGGTAGCTGTCGCCCATCTGGCTGCTCCAGGTGAGCAGGAAGTCGTAGGCTGGYTTCCACATGGCCTGGGGAGAGAGGGGACAGGGCAGGGACCAGTCAGGACCAGCACATTCCCAGGAAAACACCTCCACATCCCTCTGAACCTCCAAGAAAAGTAAAACATTAGGATTTCTGTAATCCTTCAGCGGATCACTCCAGATTCCAGTGCTGAGCTCCTGCTCTCCCATTTYYACACAAAACAATTCCTCTGCAGCCCCAAACTCAAGGACACCTCCCTGTGCCAGGCCCCAAGAGATGGAAACAACAGAGAATTSGGGGGAGCCAAGCTGGAGTGAATGACTGCATTGGCTGCAGCTGCAATTGGAGGATTCAGCCCCGATGTGCAAATRKACAAAAGTGAGAAAGGGTGAAAAACCCGTGAGCCATTGTCCATTGTGGGTGTGGGACTGYCCTGAATGCACCTGAAGGCCCTGCAATAAACAGAACTGATTTTTATTCTCTCAATCCTGTTCAGCCTCTGGTATAGGTAATCCCAGATTTAGGCATCAGGACAATGCTCTGGAGGTACTTCCAGAGAAACACGGAATTGTTTGGGTTGGAAAAGCTTTTAAGAGACCACTGTGCCCAACCATCAACCTGGTGGGTTTGGCCATGCTGGACAAGAGCTGGACTCAGCCTCCACCTTCAGAGCATCCCCAGCGAGCTCAGATTTCAAATCAGAAGGAAAATTCTTTTTTTTTCTTTTTTTTTTTTTTTGCCTGTAAAGGGATTACCCAGATATCAACAATTCCCTCCCCTTTTCCAACCTCTTCCACAGAGCAAGGGATTACCCAGATATCAACAATTCCCTCCCCTTTTCCAACCTCTTCCACAGAGCAAGAGCTCTTTGGGGTCTTTTCTGAAAATCCCCCTGGATCCATGCCAGTGCTCACCTCGCTGTCCACCGTGCCGGTGCGGTCGCGGTGCGGCGCCTCGTAGGCATCCAGCTGCTGCCGCGACACCTTGGCCAGCTTGTCGGCCAGCTCCCGCCAGCGCTGGGCCACCTCCACCGCCGTGGTCAGCAGCACAAAGTCCTGGATCAGCCTGACCACCAGCCCCTGGCAGTCCATCTTCAGMAGGGCCTGGGGGAGTGAGAATAGGGTCAGGGCTGGGGGTGGCTGACCACTGAGTTCCCTCCTGGAACATCCCAAAACCCCTCCTGCATCCCTTGCAGTGACAGCTGGGGGAATTAGGCCAGCAGGCTGGGCTGGGTAGTAATCCYATTAATGGAACAAACCCCACAGGGATGGGTTTACAGCCTAGGCCGGCCAGGGCAGCCGCCTTCTGCAGCCTCTTGGGATGTCCAGCCCCTGCCACAATACCCAGCCTCTCCCAGGATAATGTCCAGTCCCACTTGGGATGTCCAGCCTCACTCAGGATGATGCCCAGCCCCTCCCGGGATGATGCCCAGCCTCTTCTGGGATGATGTCCAGCCCCACCTTAAGCAGGTTAAACTCCCCAGGGGCTGAGGACAGCAGATGCTTTTAACCCAGGGGATTAATCCAGCACGAGGAGATTCCATCCTGAGCAGCGCCACCCTCCAGAGCAGGGGGAGAGGGACAGCCAAGACATTTTGGGGTGGGACCTGGACATCAGCCCTGTGAGACCCAGGGTAAAGTTTCAGAAACTACAGAGCCATTGCTCAGCTTGGGGTGCTCTTCCTCCTCCTCCCCCTCCTGCATCATTTATTGCCCTAAAAGCCGAGATTTCCCAAAAATGGGTTTTGAAGTGGAAAGAGCAACCGCATCAATCCGGGTTTTCCAGGTAGGAACGGCTCAGCCGGGAAAAAAGGGATGGAGCAGGGTTGGCTCCTGCCTTAAAAGCATCAAATCCCATAAAAATCCCCTCAGAGATGGATGGAGCTGYAGTGGGGGAAAATCCCACAATGCAGCCCAGGAAATGAGGGGTTTAAGGGCAGATTTCAGTGTCAGAGGATGGGATCTGAGTGCAGGATCAGCATCCCACCCCCTCAGCCTACACCCCACACCAGTCCCAGCAGCAGCAGCGACCCCAAGCTCGGAGCAAATCCCACCCCGAGCCTCCAGCAGCTGCAGGAAGGGGTTTGATTATTCAAATATGGAATATGGTTATTAAAATATGGAAATGAAGCACACAGACCCCCCCACTCCTCCAGAGCAGTAYGGAGATGGTTCCCAGGGAAATCACAGATACAAATCCACCTTCCTGCCACTGCAGGTGCCATATCCCCTCCCTACACGGGCTCTGGGCAATCCCARGGTTAAATCCTCCCACCAGAGCTTTCATAGGTTTGGGAGGGGAAGATGGCAGCAGCTGAAGCCACTCCAGCGATTTGCAAAGCAAAGCCTCCTTGGTTTTGTTGGTTTTCCCTTTGTCCGCTCCCAGCTGCGGCTCCTCCAGAGCACCGGCAGCGCTTCCTGCGGGAGCCAGGGGGGCCACCRAGCCCCTGGTAACACAAAAAAGGAAAATCCACTGAGAACAGCGCTCGTTTGGCTCTTCAAAAGGCACTGAGGAGCACTGAGATCCCACAAATCYGTGCCAGAGCCGCCTCCTCCCCTACAGCCTACAGATCCACCATGTTTGTCTGGATCCATCACCCTCTCCACAGGATCAGGATCTGGATGCTCCCCAGGAAAGGGCACAGTGAGCAGCCTCAAACCTGCCCTTGCAGGATCCCAACCCCGTGCTCAGGCTGGTATTTAGGGAAGCAGGCTGAAGGAGCTGCTCTCATCTCCTGCCCGAGGCCAGAGGTAGCAGAGCCAGGAGTGCCGCAGGGGTTGAGGAGGATGGAGCTGTAGGAGAGGGATTTTCCTGCTCCTTTGCTGCAGGAGATGGATTCTCCTGCTCCTTTGCTGCAGGAGATGGATTCTCCTGCTCCTGAGGAACAACAAAACCACAGGAAGGAAAGCAGCCGGGAGGGCACTTGTCAATAACTGCTTCATCACCCAAAACAAGAATTTTGGGAGAGACAGTTAGCTCCTGCTCAACTCCAGAACGTTCSGATGGCCACAGCAGCAGCTGCCACACGGGAAAAGGTGACAGGAGGTGGGGACAGCCCCAGAGCCACGTGGGGACGGTGTGCAAGGCATGAGGTGGCAGCCAGACAGGGATTGTGCCATAATTTTTTCCATCCTCCTCCCTCGRCCTGGAGAAACCTCCTGGGATAGCTGGGTCCACCCACTGGGTCTCCATCCAGGTGTGAGGGCCCTGCCAGAGCCCTCTGGAATATTTCTAATATTGATAATATTGACAATATTTGCAAGAATTATAATAATTATAGTATGTATAATACTTATACTATCTGTAATATTTATAACATTTATTATATTTGTGATATTCATAATATTCATGTTTATAATATTTATAACATTTGTCATAGTTATGCTATTCATTATATTTGTGATAATTATAATAGTCATAATATTTGTGATAATTATAATAATTATAGCATGTATAATACATATACTATCTGTAATATTTATACTATTAATCATATTTATTATATTAATAATTATTTATATTGGTCAATTATGCTATTTATGATATCTATATTTCTGATATTTATAATATTAATATTTGTGAAAATTATAATAATTATAGTATGTATAATACTTATACTGTGTAATATTTATAATATTTATGATATTATGATACTTATAATATTTATAATATTTGTGTTAATTACAATAATTATAGTATGTATAACACTTATACTGTCTGTAATATTAATTATATTTATAATATTTATACTATTTTTAATATTTATAATACTGATGATACCTATATTTATTATACTTATGATATTTATAATATTTATAGTATTTATAATATCTATAATATTTGTAATAATTATGGTACTTGTGCTATTTACAATATTTATTATGTTTATTATATTTATGTTGTTTCTGATATTTCTGATATTTATAATATTTGTCATATTTATGCCATTTGTGCTATTTATAATATTTATGATATTTATGGTATTTATGATATTTATGATATTTATGATATTTATTCTATTTATGATGTTTATAATGTTTATTCGTCCAGGAGCAGCAGGGAACCGGCTCCACCAGCCCCAGCAGAGAGCAGGGAGTGCGTTTGATATTCAAATCCCAGTTCAAAGCACGAACACACCTCGACTTAAAAGGCATCCAGGGGTGGCTGCATTTACACACCCAGCTTTGAAATGCAGAATCCCATTTCCTGCRGAGGAAAACAGCTCCTGCCTGGGACTTCCTCCGACAGATCTGTGACCCTGAAGAGCTGGGCAGACCCACGGGGTCAGGGGATGCTCAGGCTCCTGACTCGTCACCCTCTCAGGGACCTGGGTCAGGTTTTGACCCCAAAAAGTCACCCTCTTGGGGACCTGGGTCGGGTTTTGACCCCAAAAAGCTGCCTCTGTGCCACGTTCTCCAAAATAACCCTTGCTAAGGTGTCAGACATCTCTTCGGGCTGTGCCACCTCCATAATCATCTCACACGTTTGAAATACACTCTCAGTCTGAAATACTGAGGTATTTTTAAACCGATTTTTTTTTTTTTTACCTCACACAATCATGCACTGGCTCCACGGGATAATTTCCTYGGAGAGGAATGCCCAGCTGGTTTAGGACATCAGCTCTGAAATGCCACCAGGTGCCACCTTCTCAGGTGGCTCTGAGGAGGCACCATCAGGCACACTCAGTCCTTCAGTGGGATTATGCCACAATTTTTTCCATCCTCCTCTAAACTTTGGGTTTAGACATTGAGAAGGAATTGCTCCCTGTGAGGCTGGGGAGGGCCTGGCACAGGGTGCCCAGAGAAGCTGTGGCTACCCCTGGATTTTTGGAAATGTCCAAAGCCAGGCTGGACATTGGGGCTTGGAGCAGCCTRGGATGGTGAGAACTGTCCCTGCTCGTGGCAGGGGGTGGAAAGGGAAGGGAAACCCTGATCTGCCCAGTCTTTAGGGGCTGCTTCATCCCCCCAGCACCCCTTGGAGAGCTGCACACGCCAGGCACAAACAGAAACTCCTGGCAGCACACGGATACCGGGAGTCACAGCAAACAAAACAACGGCAGGGAAAGGGAAAAGGGAAAAAAAACATGCCAAGCTCATCTCCTGCATGACCTTTGCCGGCAGCCTGGAGAAGAAGGAGCTGCCAGCTCCCTGTGCTCAGCTCTCTGTGCCGTGCCGGGGGCATTCCCGGCGGAGCCGCGTTTTTCCCAGTGGCAGTGTGCGCTGGAGGGATGATAAATCAGAGTTTCTGGAAGGCAGAGAGGGAGAAACGCCGTGTCCCGGGGCAGATCTCACCCCTGGSCCAGGGAAATCTTTTTGAGTCCATGGCCAGGTTTTTTATCCCAACCATCCTGCCAGGGAGGGAGGGAAGGAGGGAGAGTTTTCCCTCTCTGCTCCGACGGGGAATTCCCCAACCACATCACCCTCTCCGAGTTACCTTCACACTCCAGTGCCGTGATTAGAAAGGCAGTAATTAAAGGCAGATCACTGATTAACCAGCCACCATGAGCAGCCTTCTCCTCGCTTGGCTGCCGGTGCATGACCCGGCCACCGGTGTTTTTGAGCCCTGATAAACCTGCTTTTCTCCCTTCTCCCAGCCCTTTTTGAGGGGAGACAACCAATTTCAGCTGGAGGTCAGCGCAGCTGAGAAGGTTCCTCTTGCCAGCGAGCCAGTCCATTTGTTACAAATCAAATCAGCTTTAAACACAATAAAACCCATTAGGGCTCCATTTCTGTGCCCCGAAACATCGTTATTTTCTGCTTTCAACGGGCTCAATGTAATTTCTCCACGGGCTAAGGAGGATTGGAAGGCAGAGAGGGGTTTGGAAGCAGCTCCACCAAGAAGGGAGCTCATCCCTGATCCACCAGCTCAGCCTCACAGAGAGCAGGATTAAAAAAAATGAGAATAAACCCTGCCTGGGACTCTACGCTCATCCTAGGGGGAGCAGGATGTTTTCCTGCGGCTTGCAGGAGCCAGCAGCTCCTTTATCCCTCCCTCTGCCTCCCCAGTGAGGATTCTCCATGACCCCCAGGCTGCCTGGGATCCCTGAAAACAACGGGGAATAGATAAAAGGAACACCCACGGGGTTTRCAAACAAGTAAAGCAAACAGCGCAGAGCTCACAGAATTATCCAGCACGGATTTCATCCCAACATTCACCAAGGTTGATGATAAAAGGAACAAACCCTCCCTTGGGGGAAAAAAGGGGACATTGGGGGGGTTTACAGTGCTGGAGGGGGAAAGGGTCACTGATGCCCAGGAGGACCCTGCAGCAGAAGCAGCAGAACCATGACCCRAAAGTTGCAAGTCAATAAAATAAAATATCGCCCCACGGGCCCAAAGAAGTACCCAGGCATGGGGAATTTCCATAAATAATGAATTCCACGCTATTCCTAACACACTCAGGCCCCAAATCTCCCCTTTCTCTCCCTAAAAGGACTGTGGGAACTGAATTCTTTCATTCAGCCCCAATAATTCATAATTTCATTTTGCTGCTCCTTAACCCGATYGGCGTTTTCAAGCACGCTGCTCTCCCTAACTCAGTTATCCAGCAGGAGCAAATCCCTTCCAGACATTTTCCCCTGTATTTTCTTTGGCTCAGTTCCTGCAAAATGCTAGAAATTATCACGGAGATGATATTTCGTAAGGGATTTACTGCTCATGGCAGTATCCTAGGAATACTAGCAGGCAGTGCTCTCTCTTCTTTTAGGATCAGGAGCAAACCATGCATTTCCATTTGCAAGATATAAAATATTCCAGCTCGGAGGAGCTCCRATTTAGCTGCCACCCAGAAAAAAGGCTCCCCTGATCCCTTGAAGCGTCCAAGGCCCGCTGGACGGGACTTGGAGCACTTGGGACAGTGGGAGATGTCCCTGTCCATGGCAGAGGGTGRAACAAAATGGGTTTTGAGGTCCCTTTCAACCCAAACCATTCTGTTATCCTGGAATTCCCAGCTCCTCAGCACATCCCTCATTATTGCCACAATCCCACTGAACCAGGGATCTGAACTCCCACCTGGCTGTACTGAGCAGTTGAGGARGACTTTAAAGATGGATTTCACTCTCTCCGCACCAAATTAAGGAACTTCCACCCTACTCACCCAGGCCCCCGACTCACCGTCATCAGCTCCTTCTGGAAGGATTTCCTCTCCTTGTTCTCGGCACTGTTGCAGTCTTCCTTCAGCTTCTCCAGCACGGAGGCCACCCGCTCGGGCTCGCTGTCCAGCTCGGCCCGGCAGAAGAAGGCCAGCGGCACGTTCAGGTAGCCCAGGGCATCGGCGAAGCAGCGCCAGCTGCTGAGGTTCTCCATCAGCAGAGTCCTCACCGAGGCGTAGATGTAKGTCAGGAACTTGCAGGGCCGCAGGATCTGCTCCAGCAGCAGCCCAGTGCTGAGCTCCGGCCCGGAGAAGTAGCTGGGCCTGGCCTTGCCCACCACCAGCACGTTCTTGGCGTGCACCARGCCCACCTTGCCCTGGTAGTAGCCGATGTACCACTCCTTGGTCCACAGCTGGCCCTTCAGCCGGATCTTCTCCTCGCTCAGCAGGGCCACCACGTCCCCCTTCTTGTACTCCAGCAGGTAGTGGTTCTTGCTCTGCCTCACCACCGTCTTCAGCAGCTTGCCGTACTTGAGGCCCGACACCGGCCGCTCCTGAAAAACCGGGTACTTGGCGGCGGCGGCCAGGGGYGACAGGATGATCTTGCCCACCTCGTTCTTCTTGAGGAAGCGCCTCTGCCCCGTGGGCTTGACGGCGCTCTTGGGCGGCGGCTGYGGCGTCTGCACGCAGAACTGGGTCAGGATGGCGTCGCGCTCGTCCTTCACTTGGATCCTCAGCGTGAAGTCCGACAGCTCGTTGGGGTCGTGCGAGGCGATGGGGAAGATGAGGCGGCTCACCTTGCCCAGCTTCATCTGGAAGCCCCGCACCACCTTGGCCTGCTCGCCGGCCTTCACCTCGTAGTTGCTCATGTTGGAGAACATGCACAGCTTCAGGTCCTGGGGCCGGGCCAGGGTGAACTGGTGCTTGCCCCAGAGCTGCAGGGCCACGGGGGCCGGGCCGTGCGACTGCCGGGCCACCTCGTTGACCAGCAGCGTCTTGGGCGCGCACTCGTGGCCRAACACGGCCACCACGGTCTTGAAGGACGGGTGGATGTGCTTGGGGCCGTAGACGCCCACCGTCACCCTCTTGCTGATGTAGTCCCACACGGTGTAGGGGTAGAGGACGTCGCGGGCCTGCGCCACGGCCGCCACGTACATGCAGGGCTCCAGGTTCTCCAGCTGCACCTGGATSGTGTCCCCGTACGAGTAGCTGGGCTGCACGGCCGTGTAGGGCCCCTCCTTGACGTCGCTGCGCAGGCACTGCAGMCCCACCAGGCTCCTGCTGGCGGCGTCGTCCTTGACCTCAGCCGAYACCTTCATCTCCAGCACGATGACTGTCCTCACCTCCATGTTGCTGAGCTTGATCTGCAGCACGGGGCTGACGGTGCTGCACTTGTCACTGTTGAGCTCCAGCGGTGGGTCCAGCATGGCCTTCATGGATATCTGCTGCGTCTCACCCGGGCACACGTGGCCCTCGGGCACGTGGATGCTGATGTTGGTGTCCGGCAGCTGCACGGCGCCGCCGGAGCTGTCCAGCTTGCACACGATGTTGGTCTCCACCGGCTGCGTCTGACCCCAGCCGGGGTTTTGGCCCAGCAAATCCAAGTCGTGGCACGACCGGGCCAGTTTCCTGTGGTTCAGCCACGCTGTCCTAAAATCCTCCCGGCTCTGGAACTGCTCGGGGGTGGGYGACTTGAGGCCGCCGAAGAAACCCGACGCGGCCGGTGCGTCCGACTTGGCCTGGAGGACGGACAGCTCCGACAAGCTGTAGGAGCGCTTGCTTCGGAAGAAGGGGTTGTCCCTCCTGACGGGCTGCTCCCCATCCAGCCTACCCACCGAGGAGGGAAACTCCTCAAAAAGGTTCCCCAGGCTGCTGTTGGYGGCCGAGCCGGGCAGCGCCGGCGCYCCGGTGTCGAACAGCAGCAAATCCACAGCGGCGCTGGAGTCGGACTCCTTATCCGAGCCGGGCGCCGCCTGCAAATTCCCGTTCAGGAACGGGTTGGTCTGCACTCCGTTCAGGAAGGGGTTGTTGTGGTAGGACCTGGCCGAGTTCCTCTTCCCCTCTGCCCACTCCCCGAGCAGGTCCAGCTCCTTGACGCCCTCATCGGGGCTCTCCAGCAGGCTGTCGATGACGCCGCTGTCGCTGAGCGAGGAGCCGCGGCAGCCCACGGGCTGCACGTAGGAGGACGGGATGTAGCCCATCTCCGTGGTGTTGTGGGCGTACCACCACTCGCCCCCGGAYGTGTCCAGCACGTACAGGTGGTCACCCTTGGAGAACTTGAGGGTGGTGAAGTTGGTGGGGCAGTAATCCTTGATGGCCACCACTTCCTTGGCGTTGCCGAAGGACGTGGGGCTGTCCACCAGCAAGGCACTGGGAGAAGGCACTGCGAAGGCAAGGGGGAGACAGCACTGTCAGAGATGCACAGGCTCAGAATTATTTATCCAGATGTCCACTCCATGCTGGTTTAAGGGATGGAGGCAATTTTGGAATCCCCAAATCACTAAAGTGGGAAAAGCCCCTCCAGGATCACTGAATCACTAAAATTGGAAAAGACTTCCAGGATCAATAAAGTTGGAAAAGCCTCCAAAATCACCGTATCACTAAAGATGGAAAAGTCCTCCAGGATCACCAAATCAGTAAAACTGGAAAAGCCCTCCAGGATCAATAAAATTGAAAAAACCCTCCAAGATGATCAAATCATTAAAGTTGRAAAAGCCCTCYAGGATCACTGAAGCTGGAAGAGCCCTTGAGGATCATCGAGTCCAACATGAACCCAGCACTGTCAGCCCCACCACAAAGCCACGTTCCCAGGTGCCACATCCACGTGTTTTCTGAACAATTACAGCTCCACTGATTCCCTGGGCAACCTCCTCTTGAGCCTGCAGGTTTTCAAGGAAACTCCCCAATTCCTGAAACWTTCACATCTACCTTCCCTAAAGGGTTAATCCAAACCTGAGATAACTTTCCCTAAAGGCTAAAAACCCTCTGGCTCTCCTGTCACCTCTCACCTGCACATGTCAAACATGCCCAGAGAAGCTGTGGCWGCCCCTGGATCCCTGGAAGTGCCCAAGGCCAGGCTGGACGGGGCTTGGAGCACCCTGGGATCATGGAAGGTGTCCCTGCTTTTGGGTCCCTTCCAAACCAAACAGCTCCRTGTTTCCAAAGCTCACCCAGTTTGACCCCTCACAAAAACCCCAGCACCTCCCTCCCATRCTGCTCTTGTGGTCCTGGCAGTATCTCCAAAACCCTGGAAGTTTTGCCAGGAGATCCAAATTTATGCCCAGGCAGGGCTGAGCTGACAGTGTCACCCTATTTATTGGCTTTGCTGTGGTTTTTAGGATGTGTTTCTGTAAAAACAAGCTGCAGGTGATGCTCCATCAATGGATAAATGCGTTCTCTCCCCGAAAAAAACAAGGAAAGCTGGATTTTCACCAAGAGGGAGCTGGGACTGCACCTGCTTCAGCAGGTTGGAGAGCTCTCAGGGAGGAAAAGGGAGTTTAGAAAACACAGGAAGCCCTTAAAATCYCGCAGACAAAGGGATGGGAGGCTCAGACTGCAGATCCCTGCGGGCCGGCAGCGATTCTCCAACCCACGGAAGCAGCCAGGAGAGGGAAGATCCAGCTGAGCAAAGAGAAGCCTTTAAACACAGCCCAGGGATCAAATATTCYGAGTTTTGTACACATCCTGAACAGCCCATCCGCTAGCAGGGAAAGGAGCGAGGGCGTTCAACCCCGTGGAAAACTGCATGGGAACGGAGAATTGGAATTGTTTCGGGTTGGAAGTGATTCTTCACACRGTCTGGGGCAGGTTTGAGGGAGTGGGTGGGAGGGGCGTTTTTGGTGTCCCCATCCCATCAGAATGCACGGCTGTTCCGGTGTTCCTCCAGCTGGGCATGCAGGGGTTAATAGGGATGTGCTGAAACCCCTTGGAGAAGAGGAGAAATTCCCATTTCTGCATTAAAACCCCTCGGAAAAAAGAAGGAATTCCCATTTCTGCATTAAAACCCCTCATAGAAGAGGAACAATTCCTATTTGTGCATTAAGACCCACTGAAGAAAAAAAAGGAATTCCCATTTCTGCATTAAAACCCATCAGAGAAGAGATGCGATTCCCATTTTTGCATTAAAACCACTTGGAGAAGAGGAGGAATTCCCATTCCTGTATTAAAACCCATCAGGGAAAAGGAGAAGTGCCCATCTCTGCATTAAAACCCCTCGGAGAAAGGAGGAATTCCCATTTTTGCATTAAAACCCATTGGAAAAAAGGGAGCAATTCCCATTTTTGTATTAAAATGCCCTGGAGAAGAGGAGCAATTCCCATTCCTGGATTAAAACCCCTTGGAAAACAGGAGCAATTCCCATTTTTGCATTGGAAAACAGGAGGAATTCCCATTTTTCCATTAAAACTCCTCGCAGAAGAGGAGCAATTCTCATTTTTGCATAAAAACCCCTTAGGGAAGAGGAAGAATTCCCATTTTTGCATTAAAAACCCTTGGAAAAAAGGAGGAATTCTCATTTTTGCATTAAAACCCCTTGGAAAAACAGGAGCAATTCCCATTTTTSCMTTAAAACCCCTTGGAAAAAAAGKAAAAATTCCTATTTTTGCATTAAAACCCCTCCTGCCAGGGGAGCAGCAATCCCCCTCCCACCTGCCCCAGCAAAACACGGCAGGAAATAAAAAACCACCAATAAAAAAACGGGCAAAAAAMCCCCCAATATCTGAGACAGAGAGGGAGAGGCCACACCTCTGTCCCCTCCTCGCCGGTGTCACCGAGCCCTCCCAGGGCGGGTCTGCCATGGGGACAGGGATCCCCCGCGCCCCCCGGGTCCCCACGCACCTTTGACGTCGCCCAGCGCGGTTTGGGACGAGCCCTCGGCCAGGTCGATGAGCGTCCCCTCGGAGCGGCAGCGCGGGAGCCCCCCCGAGTTGGCCGCCCGGATCCTCTGCGCCGCCATCGCTACGYGGCCATGGGGACGGGGACCCCGCTGTCACCAGCCTGGGGAGACAAACACATGGATGGGGTCACAGAGGAGCTGGGGACACTGGGACAGCCCGGCAACAACCCCGTGGGGATGATCCTGGAGAGGAGCCTCTGGTTAGCCATAAAACTGTGCGGGATTCAACCGGGGGGCGCCCAGGAAGCACATCCTACAAAGCCTTGGAGAGCACCGGGAACCAAATCCTACAAATCCTCAGAGAGCACCGTGAACCTCATCCTACAAATGTCTGGATGGTCTCAGGAACGCCATCCTACAAATCCCTGGAAAGCACCAGGAACCACATCCTACAAATCCAAACCACATCCTACAAACCCCTGGATGCTCCCAGGAACCCCATCGTACAAATGGAACCCCATCCTACAAATCCTTACAGAGCACCAGGAACCATATCCTACAAATGGAACCACATCCTACAAATCCTTAGAGAGCACCAGGAACCATATCCTACAAATGCAAACCACATCCTATAAACCCCTGGATGCTCCCAGGAACCCCATCCTACAAATGGAACCCCATCCTACAAATCCCTGGAGAGCAAGGACAGCCTGATCTGTCACGCTGCTGCTGCTGGACACGACCCCATAAGAAGCAGATTAGGAATTTTTTGGGATACTCCACTCTCACGATCACAAATCAGTTCTTCCCCCATTTCCCAAGCATTTCCAGCTTTTCCAGCATAAAACCACTGGGATGCTGYGGGATCAGGGAAAACAGGAGCGGGTTTTCCTATATTCAAACGGGGTCATCCCTCTCTCCCACCGCAGCACCAGGATCTCCTGGGACAGGCTCTTCCCTCCAACCTGGCCAACCCTTCCTGCACTGAACAAAATCAAAATAAAGGGGTTTTTTTTCCTTTTTTTTTTTTTTTTTTTTTTTTTTTTTTTTTTGCAAAAGGAGCAGGGAAGGCTGAAACAGGGAAATCAGGAATTGCTGCTCCGGGTTTGCAATCCTAGAATTTCTGGATCCAATCCCTTCCTCCTGCTCCCCTCAGACCCACCACAAAACCCCAGCAGCTCATGAAAAGTGACGTAAAAAGTTCCAAACATGAAAAGTTTGGAAGTTGTAACAGTTATAAATWATAGTTTTAATTGGGAGTTTTATCCAAATCCCTTGTTATAACCAAGAGGTAAAAATCCTCATTTTACCAAGGGGTTTTTACCAAGGGGTTTTACCCTGGTTTTACCAAAGGATTTTTACCTTATTTTATAAAGGAAGGGACTTTTTATCTCTTTTACCAATGGGATTTTTAATCTCATTTTACCAAACTGTTTTTATCTTATTTTACCAAACCGTTTTTATCTCATTTTACCAAGGCATTTTTACCTCCTTTTATCAAGGGATTTTTATCTGGTTTTACCAATGGGATTTTTACCAAGGGGTTTTTACCTCGTTCTACCAAGGGATTTTTACCTCATTTTACCAAGGGAAGGGATTTTTACCTTATTTTACCAAGAGGTTTTTACCTCATTTTACCAAGGGGTTTTTACCTTGTTTTACCAAAGGATTTTTACCTCATTTTACCAAGAGGTTTGTACTTCATTTTACCAAGGGGTTTTTACCTTGTTTTACCAAGGGGTTTTTACCTTGTTTTACCAAGGGATTTTCATCTTGTTTTACCAAGGGATTTTCACCTCGTTTAACCAAAGGGTTTTCATCCCCTCCTGACATAGTTTTCCTTTCTCCCCTGCTCTCCCTTTCCCTCCCTCTGCTTGCCAACGAAACGCAGAAAACGCCAGCCAGACCCGAATTCCTTGGGGTTGACGTCTCCCCAGCCCCGGAGGATTCTGTGCCCTTTTCTGGAACGCAGCGGGAGGAAATGTGCAGAGGAGAGCCCCGGCAGGAGACAGCCCAGGCTGCCTGAAATGCTTCCCAAAGCYATCCCCGGGGCTGGAATGCCGGGAATGCGGGAGGGATGCACCGGGCTGGGCCAGAAAAGGGAAGAAGGGAAGGCAAAATTCGCCTGTGCCAACATTTCCCCTTCCAGGGGAGCCTCATTTTTGGGAGAGAGCCAAGGGGAAAGGGGTTTGGAAGGGAATAAACACGGGGAAAATGGGTTTGGGGACACGGGGGAAATTCCCATGATTTCCCATTCATTCCCATTCATTCATTTTCCATTAATTCTCATTCATTCCCATTCATTCCCATTGATCTTGGAGACTGCAGGTTCTCCAGGAGGCACGGAAAGACCCCAAACACAGAGTGCCCTCCCTTTAGAAACCCCACAGAGCTCCCCCCATAGGCTYTTATAGGTTTTTTTCCCTCCCTGCCTTCACAGAGGCAAAAAAAACCCCTCACAACTGTATCAGAAATAGCTCAAGAGGTAAAATTTGCATTGATTTTGGCATTTCTTGCCACAATCCCATCAAAAATAAATAAAAAAATCAAACCTCTCAGGCAAGCCAAAAGTTTCCCCAGCTCGGGAAGCACAAAGAAAGGAAAAACCAGGCACAGGGAGGTGATTCCTTCCCTGAAACCAAGTTTAAGTCACAAATTTGCTTTTAAATGCCAGCATCATGTGAATTTTACATTAATTGTATTATTTATATTAATTCTATTAATTAATTATTGCAGCTYCATCCCTGGCAGCTCTCACTGAGGTACCCACAAGCCTGGAATTTGCAGGAGTTCTCCCCCTTCCTTTATTTAAGGAAAATTTAAGGAAATAGCTGGAAAAATCCCCTCCAAATCTAGCCCTGAAAAGGCAGCGAGAACCCACAGACAGATGAGGGGCGATGGAAAGGGATTTCATGTCCTGGAATGGGTCTGGATTTGGGATTTTGAGCTGGGACAGACCCAAAACGGCCCCAAAACAGAGGAAACCCGGCAAACTCTCGATTTGGGGCTGGGTGAGGATAAAAGGGATAACAAAGAGGGGAAACAAAGGGTGGAAGGGGCAAAGATTTGTTTAGAAATCACAGAGACAATGGTTTGCAGGCTCCTCTGGAAGGGATTTAAATTTAGCCCGGGGTTAAATATAGGGCAGGGGAAAAGCCCAGCCCCAACTGTTTACCCAAAGCCATAAAAGGATTCATCCCAAATGATCCGAGGGGGGAGGGAATACCCACAAAAGTTCAATCCCACAGGGGTGAATACAGTTTCATAGATTTTAAGAAATCAGCATAATTGGATGGAATAGCTGGGATGAGAAAGGGAATTCTTGTCTGGAATTCCGCCCTGAAAAATCTCATTAAGCAGAATCCAGATGGTCACAGAATGGGAAGGGAATTCTTGTCTGGAATTTGTCATTTCAGACCTGAAAAACCCCATAAAGCAGAATCACAATGGTCACAGGATGGAAAGGGAATTCTTGTCTGGAATTCAGCCTTTCAGCCCTGAAAAACCCCATAAAGCCTTCCAGGGGCTGGGGTGAGGAAAAAGGTGAGCAGCAGCTCCTGGGGCTGGGGATTTATGGCACAAGGAGAAGGTTTTCAACCCTGAGCAGCACTAAGTAAAAAACTGARACTGCCAGGCTGATCCCTGCTCTGTTTCTACCCTGAAATTTCAATTATTATTTCTCGTTGGATTTTTTAATCCCTTCTCTCTTGGCTCCATTTGAAAAAAAAAAAATGGAATTTTCTAGAGATAAATCACCCGTGACCTTCCAACGTGTCACCTCATGTTCTCCTTCCACTCCTGCCTTTGGGAGAGCCCTGAACTCGTTTCAAAGTTCTTTTTTTGAACACACAGCATTTCAGCTTCATCCCAGCAYACAGTGGCATGGAAAAGTAACCTCTGCCAACTGTCTGGTGCAATTTATCCCAAAAATGCAGCTGGGATCCACTCCAGAAATCCCAAAAAAAAATCCCCGAGCCCCTCGTGTGGGCACAGCCCCATCCATCACCCCGAGCTCATCCTGATGCGATTATGGGAACAAAAGAAGGAGCTTCCAATCAATCAATCAATCAATCAATCAATCAATCAATCAATCAATCAATCAATCAACCAACCAATTAATCAACCAATCAATCATCATCCTCTTGCCACAAGGGCCAAGAACAACTCTGGGCATTTGTTGCTTGTGGCTTTTAATGTGCTTTTTCTTCCTCCAAAGCCAAGTTCCTCTGGCTCTCCAACAAACATTGAAGTGTTTTTGGAGGTTTCTTTTAAATTTAAGCTTTTTTTAGGTAGGAGTTCATGTCCCAGAGCCACAGCACTTGTGCCACACTGAATTTACCAAAAATGCTGCTTTTATCAGTCACAAAAAGCTCAAGGAACTCAAATCCACGGAATCAGATRCAGAAAAGGCCCCTCCAAACCCAGGGAGCACCAGATGACACCAACACGCCACAGAGAAAAGAAGCCAAAGAGGTCCAAAAGCTGAAAAAAGGCCCAAAAAGTGGCCAAAACTGCCAAATTTTAGCAAACAATCTGATTCAGGAACTTGGTTTTACTGTGTGGATTCTCCACACCTTCAAGAGCTACGAYACAGCACAATGTTGGCCATCGCTCAGTATACTTTTCCCCTGATGCTTTAGGATTTTAACTTCTGTCTTTTTCATATACCTGSAATCCTGGAATTTTTCAATGGATAACTCCAGACTCCACAGACAGTGCTGAGCTCCTGCTCTCCCATTTTTACACAAAACAATTCCTCTGCAGCCCCAAACTCAAGGACACCTCCCTGTGCCAGGCCCCARGAGATGGAAACAACAGAGAATTGGGGGGAGCCAAGTTGGAGTGAATGACTGCATTGGCTGCAGCTGCAATTGGAGGATTCAGCAAATCCCGATGTGCAAATGGACAAAAGTGAGAAAGGGTGAAAAACCCGTGAGCCATTGTCCATTGTGGGTGTGGGACTGCCCTKARTGCACCTGAAGGCCCTGCCAAAAACAGAACTGATTTTTATTATCTCAATTCTGCCTCTCTTTTAGGTAAAGTAGATTTTAGGCATCACCCCACAGGAAATTATCCCAGCACCCTGAGAATTCCCTACTTTTTTCCATGTTTTTGCTGACAAATCTTCAGGACAAACACAACATCCTCCTAACGGGCAGCA